AGCTAATTTAAAAAGGTATGTCTTAACAAGTGATTTAAATTTCCTGATACACAGTTCATACCTGATTTCAACAGAAAGAGCGTTCCACAGTTTAGGGGCTGCAGATTGAAAAGCCCTGTCACCTAAAGTTTTTTTACATTTCCCACTAGCTGGATTTGATGTGAAATGGAAAAACATTACGGCTAAGCTAAGGGATTGAACATTAGATAATTGAAGGAGGTTGCAGGAATTTGTGCTGTAAGATTTTTGTTTTTGTTTTGTTATAACGACCCATGCACGCAATTTTTCTGTGTTTGCCCGACATTTCTTTACTGAAAGGAGAGGCGCGATATTTTTTTTCGTAGGAGACGTAATTGCTCAATATTTTTGGGGGGGATTGAAATTTAAGCAACCCTTCCCAATTATCTAATGTTCTGTTCCTAAAGATATCTATTGCTGCGTCACAGCGTTTAATGTTTCTTGCTTTTTTCTTGTTACAGTCTGACAGGAATGGAAAAGTCAAGAGTGAGGTTCTTGGTAAGTTCGAAGCCTGGTTCACAGGCGTTTCTTTTGTTTCAATTCCTTTGGGATCCCTGTGTTATAAAGGAGAAGAGATCGTTTGCAGAACTTTTAAAGTGTGGGATCAATCGTATGGGAAAACGAAAAGGCGTTCTATAAAGTGCTTTTTTAAAATAATTTTCTTCAAAATAGAATTAGTTTTCCAAAGTTTCAATTGTTTCAGGTGAAGGTTAAGTCATTGAGAACATTTTTTCGCTTCACTTTAGCGGTTTTTGTTAACAGTTGTACCCTGAAATACGTCACAACTAAAAATTATGCAGGAAATAATCACGTGACTGTTACTGAGCGGCAAAAAATATCGGACTTCCTTTATTCAAAGAACTTTTTCTGTTACTGAGCGGCAAAAAATATCGGACTTCCTTTATTCAAAGAACTTTTTTTGGATAACTTATGTCATATCCAAACCTTTTTTCAAAATACTTTTTTTCCCCTCATAAGATGCTTTCGATCTTACAAAGTATTTGTTTGCGAAACAGCAGAGACTTCTCCAAGGGACCTTTGGCTGAATCGATTCTTTATCGAAGCGATATTTAAATAAGTTTTATTATTAGCAAGTTATTGTTACTGAGATGAGTCGCTCGCTTTTCTCTAAATATTAAGACCAGAATGCCTGGCGTGCTTCAAAAGATCTGCGCGCGCGTCAATGACATCATAATACAATTTAAATTGACGTCATAACCAATCAAAAATTAGATTGTTTCAAGTAGTTGAATTGAAAACACGCGTTTGATTATCAAGTGATTTTTATTGTTCAAAATGTGCGGAACATTTCAGTCTAAATTTAAGCGCAATAACAAAGTAGCGCCTGTACCATGTCCTTTCGAACTAGAGGTCCTCAGAAGAGCCAAAATCCAAATCGAGAAAGAAAAAGCTCTCCTCCAGAAAGAAATCGCCATACAAACCGGATCAAGTCTCGTGTTCTTGGATACCGAGACCAGAACATGTGAAACGCCAGCGTGCGTTGCATACGATCTAAATTTGGATGGCAATATTGTGCAGAAGGGTCTGAAAGCAACCTGTCCACGAAGACTGGCGAGGGACCCGAAGTTGCCCGTCCTAACAAGAGAGATGCTGCTTGAGAAGCAGGCACAGGCAGAAGAGAACAGAAACATGCAACTGGAAACGAAAAGAAAAGCCGCCGCCTTAAAATCTTTGCGTGCGACGGAAAAGAAATTAGAAGAAGAAGAAGAAAAATTGAATAAGGTTGCAAAAATAAACGAAAAGCTGGTCAAGGCCGACGAGAACAGACAAGCTCAGCTCGAAGGCGTTAAAACCAAAGCTAAAAAATCCTCCAACAACACACGCAGCAAGATAGCTGAAGCGCAGAACTTCGCCAAAGCACAGCAGACTTTGGTGCAGAGTGACAGAAAATTGAAAGAAGCTCAAACCAAAAGAGAAAAAGCTGTTAGCAAGGTTGTCAGAAAACAGCGACAACGTGAAGCACAAGCCCAGAAAGTCCGACAAAGGGCAGCCAAGCAAATGCAAGAGGAAGAAGACTGTGTTCGTGTGTTTGATCTGGAAGTCGATCAACACTTCTATGCATCGGACAGCGAGAGTGACAAAGATGGCATGTGGGATGCTGCATTCTGGGACAGGAAAGTCTAAAGAAAAGGATTGGAATGAAATTAATTCCGAGAAAAGAAAGTCCAGGAACTTTGAAGTCAAACTGCAAGATTTTTACATTTTGAAATTATTCATAAAATGATTCAAAATTTATGTAATTTTGAAAAATTAAAAACTTAACTTTTTTTAATCACTAATAATAACTGTAATTCGATATTTTAATAAATATAAATTGGAGATATTCATTTTCTTTTACTGTTATTCAGTTCCGAATAATTTTTCCCCCGCACAAAATCAAGCGCTTCCTTGGTATATATTCTCGATGGCTTTATTGGAAATACTCTCTTCAAGTTTTGGTTCCCTTGTTGCTTTTCTTGGTTATTATTATGGTTTTCTGTGCGCAAATCTAATCGTTCTAAAATCGCGTAAAAATACAACCTGTTGTGCATCATTGAGGCGTTGGACGAAAGCAAGCTGATCTGAAATACTGACGCAGAAATGACGTCGATGCAAAAATGAGCTGTCATAGATTTTGCGAAAATTTCAAAGCCCAGCATTACGACAAAAATATAAAACCCATGATTGTTGTGTCACTGTTAACAAGCTTTTTTAGCCTTGAAATTCACTATTTGAAAAGGAAAAATGACTCGCAGTTTTACAAATTTTCTCGATTCATAATGCCTAACATTTTTTCTCAGATCAGCTGGAGAAAACTCCGCTCCGCTCGGAGAGAATATCTCACTCTACGCTTATAAACAAGTTTCTTTTAGTCCATCATTACATGGCTTCTGTTACTAGCTGGAAAAATATCCTCAACCCCTTTTTCTTCTTCTTCTTTTTCAGATGAGCAAGATATCAACAATTTGGATGAGAGCCTCAGGAGTGTCATTCCAGACAGTGGACCCCCTGACGAAGAGGTTTGTATTACCATTTTCCATTCCATTTTATTTCAGGAATTTTCTCCAGGTTCATCGGTCTTCCTCCCTTCGCAAAACCATTTAAATTCCAATTCTATCTGTGAGTTAGCCATGCCCTGACTTAGATCAACCCAGAGGTTGTTTCAGGGTTTGATATGTGAGTAAGCCATGCCCTGACTTAGATCAGCCCAGAGGTTGAGCAAAGAGGTGGCTTCAGGGTACTATAAATTTGAGAATAGTTTTTTCTTTAACAGGCTCCCACGAGAAGACAACCCTTTGAAAAAGTACTAAACAGGTATGTTTGTTTTATAATATTACGAGTTGTTAAAGAACTGTGTACATGCGCGAGGCAAACGCTAGGTTTTCCAAACGCATCCCACATGGAAAGAAGTGACTACGGATGCTTAGTCCTCATTGACCCAATTGTCACACCGAGTTTGCTGGTCATAGCAAGGGGTTAATCATCTACGGTTAGGGGCCGACTAACCTCTCCCTTAGGCTTCGGCCGAGCTTCCTGGTCAGTCTGTAAATCTCCGGATAGCAGTGTCGGGGTCGAAATCTCCGGCGTAGCCGTAAATGCTTTCGCGCTGCCATACGACGATTCAGCACTCGATGTCTGGAAGTATGGTCCTGATTTCATTAATCGAAAAAAAAAAAAGAAAAAAAAAAGGAAGATAATCCACGAATCCTGAGAAAGCAGTCCCATATTTTGAATTTGTTAAAGAATGTTTTGTAAAGACAACTAGAAAACTCATTAATAATTCATGAAGGAAACACAATAGAAATCATGACCATGAAGGAGGTTTTATATCTGATATAGATTCGTCTTCATTTGCATAAACTTTAACTTGGATTTTCTCTCTCAAACTTGGTTCATTTCGTAAAGAATTCTGTACAATATGAGAACATACATCATGAGTTTTCTAAGACATTTAATAAACTCGCAGATTGTGTTTTATCGTGTCTAAAAATACTCGGCTACGCCTCGTGTTTTTAAATCCTGATCAAACACTCCTGCGAGTTTTTTAAACAGTACTAAAAATTACAAGTATGTAATCTGTGCGTCTTTAAGGTGACTTCTAATTTACCTAAAATAATTTTCCTGAAACAGGTTTTCAATCCTTTTTGATTGGATTCCTGGACTACGGTATCACATGAGAGTAGAGTTTGTTAGGTCTCTCCCTTGATTCGAGGGGTTTTCGCTTGGTTTTCTTTAGTTTTCCTCTCTGCGCTAAGACACAACAAGCTAAATTCCAATTTGAACTGTTAGTTGACCGTGCCCTGACTCATGATAAACCAAGAGGTTGTTTCAGGATTCGATCTGTAAGTTAGCCATGTCATGACTTAGATCAGCCCAGAGGTTGTTTCAGGGTTTGATCTGCGAGTTAGCCATGCCCTGTCTTAGATCAGCCCAGAGGTTGTTTCAGGGTTCGATCTGTGAGTTAACCATGCCCTGACTTAGATCAGCCCAGAGGTTGTTTCAGGGTTCAATCTGTGAGTTAGCCATGCCCTGACTTGGATCAGCCCAGGGGTTGTTTCAGGGTTTGATCTGTGAGAGTTACCCATGCCCTGACTTGGATCAGCCCAGAGGTTGTTTCAGGGTTTGATCTGTGAGTTAGTCGTGCCCTGACTTGGATCAGTCCAGAGATTGTTTCAGGCTTCATTCTATGAACTAGCCATGCCTAGGGTTTAATTACATTTATTGTATTTCGTATTTTAGGCTCTCCGACAGTTCTGGGCAGCTAAAGTTTACTGAAGTGTCACGTGGTAGTCATGTGAAGCGAAGTCAGCTCTGCAGCGATGATGGTAAATAAAATAAGAATAAGTAAATAAATAAATCACTTTTATTTAAGTGTCTAGTCGTTCTAGCGCTTTCGCACTAATTGGGGACACTTTTCACTCACACGCACTACCACTACATTAAATGTTCTATGCACACAACGCTCAACTCACATGTTGATTTTTACAGAATTCATGAATTCATGTGAATTCATTGCCATGGTAATATTACTGTGATGGGATGGATGGATGGGAATAAAGTGGATGGATGTGACTGAGATGGATTGGATGTGACTGGGATGGATTGGATGTGACTGGAATGGATTGGATGTGACTGGAATGGATTGGATGTGACTGAGATGGATTGGATGTGACTGGAATGGATTGGATGTGTTGGATGTGACTGGGATGGATTGGATGTGACTGGGATGGATTGGATGTGACTGGAATGGATTGGATGTAACTGGAATGGATTGGATGTGACTGAGATGGATTGGATGTGACTGGAATGGATTGGATGTGACTGGAATGGATTGGATGTGACTGAGATGGATTGGATGTGACTGGAATGGATTGGATGTGACTGGAATGGATTGGATGTGTCTGGAATGGATTGGATGTGACTGGAATGGATTGGATGTGTTGGATGTGACTGGAATGGATTGGATGTGACTGGGATGGATTGGATGTGACTAGGTTGGATTGGATGTGACTGGAATGGATGGATGTGACTGGACTGGGATGGATTGGATGTGACTGCAATAGATTGGATGGAACGATGGATTAATGAATGAACGTATAGGTAAACGAATGAATGGGGGTCCCACTAAACTAAATCTGATAAACTAAGCTTTCGTTTTTGTCGTTATACAATAGTGTTCATCCTCGAGACTGAAACCGAGTGTTTTGTCTGGACTGGTAAAGGAGCCAGCATCGAGGAGCGAAAGAAGTGCATGCAATATGCTCATGTAAGTACTTTAACAGGGTTCGTTCTACTCCTTAAACTCCTTGAAAACTACTTGAATTTAATTCACGTTTTCAAGGGCACTTGAAAAGCTCTTGAACTTTACAATTTTGCGAAACTCCTTGAAAACTCCTTGAATTTTTGCTTTGATCATTACTTGCATGGTTCTGAAAAAGATCTAGTCAGAAAGATTGGAAAATCTGAAAGTCGGCCATGTGCAACCACCGTGTAAAACCTTGGCATAGTTAGCTGAACATACTCCTTCAAAATTCATTTTTGGGTCCTTGTATACTCCTTGAATAGTCCTCGAATTTTAAGTGTTTACCTCAGCACGAACCCTGTTTATCTTTAGTAAATGACTGTGAAAAACGCACGCTACGGACGTGCGAAATTAAAGTGACTGAGGCCTTGCCGAATACAAAAGTCGAACTTCACGTGAGCCGAACTTACTGACATAAAAGAAGACCGCCTTGTCAAATTTTTTCAATGCAACGTGAGCCATAGAATATGTTCCCCCTCCCCTCCCCCTCTCAGCAGTTCTTGTCATCTTCTTTCTTAACACATACGAGATATCCAAAGTCAGAGATGGCTGTATAAAGTATGCTTTTCGTTGCATGGCTGAATTTATTGCCATAGTTTTTTGCGGGCTGTTTTATTACCAGTGTTCATTTAATCTCCAGAAAATGGAATCGTAATCGTACTTTTTCTTTCAGCATTACGTCCAAAGGAGTGTCAACCCATTCAATCCCATCACTGTGGTCAAAGAAGGCAACGAAACGGATAACTTCAATCGTGCTTTTAACTAGACTGAAACATACTCAACAAGGTTAGTTTTCTCTGCTGCCTGTGGTTTGCACCATCACGTGACGGCAGCCATGTTGGATAGCAGAAACAATACAATCCTTTGACGTAAGGGATTTATCACAGGCAGCACAAGATGTATTATGTGCGCCGGCATGTGATGGTGCAAAGCCTCTATTTCTAGGTTCACACGAGAAAAGCATTTGCTCACGACGTTGCAGAAGTTGCTCTCGATTCTCTTTACTAAAATAGAGCTTTTAAGTGTGACGTCAATCATATGGGGAAACGACTTCCGGGTCCAAAACGAAAAGCAGTTTAGGAAATTTTTCGCTTTGTTTTAGCGGTTTTGGAACCGGAAATACGTCACAACGTAAAAGTTTAAAGGTCGTCACACGGTGCATAATTGCCATGACTATTATCACGCTAGCGTGACATAAGATATTTCATTTAACGGAAAAAAGAGTTTACTTTCAAATTTGTCACATCAATAATAATAAAATGCGAAGATTCGTAAAGAGGGCTCTTAAATTGGCGAATATATGAATTCTTGAACCTAAGCATTGTTACAAAGAAATGTATGGCACTATAACCACAGTGCATGCGTTGTGTTGGACATACATTTCTTTGCGAAAGTTCCACGAAAATTCTCAGTTTAAAATTCATGGTTTCTCTTTTTACGGGCAATCGTTACGAAACTCTGCTATTTCACTATTATCGATACGACAAATTTAATCGTAAACTCCTTTTTCCGATTAATCAAAAATCTTATATTGTCACGCTAAGCGTGATAAGGGTCAATAGTCTCCTTCACAGTTCCCTGCGCCATCTTGAAAGGTAGCCGTGCCTTTGCATCGGAGCAAGACGAACGGTGAGCTTGCAATAATAGAGACCTTTTTTAACACCTTAGACAATTATTCGCATGTCTCTATCATTGCAAGCTTACCGTTCATCGCTTCGATGCAAAGGCACGGCTACCTTTCAAGATGGCGCGGGGAACTGTGAAGCAGGCTATTCCWTCTGCAACTTTTTTCAAATGGCAAAAAACTAGGTTGCTTTAACTTGCAGTATTTAACACTTCTTTTCTTAGTTCGTAGGTTTTTTAAAGAATGGACATTCACTAGATGAAAAATACAAGCGCATGGCGTACGAATCAAGGCAACTCGAAACTTTTTCATAAATATTATCAAAATTAAACTAGCTTTTAATGAATAAACTTTTTAAATTCTACAAAAATGGGTGGATTTTACTTTATTCTATTTCAAACATTAAATTTGAAATTTGCTTGAAAATTTAGTAATTTTAATATAGAATGATTTTACTTGGCTCTTAAAACTAAAACGTTGTATAATTAGTGAATAACAGTTAAAGTAAAACGACAGAAAACAATGGAATTATTGTCTACTACTAGTATAGTATGCTTACTAATTTTTCACGGGCCAAGTAAAATCAGTCGGTCATCCATCTATATATCATCATTCATTCATTCATTCATCCCATTTTTCCATCCATCCATCCATCCATCCATCCATCCATTTATTCATTTATTTATTCATCCATCCCATTCATTCATTCATTCATTCATTCATTCATTCATCCAATCATTCATCCCGCATTCATTCATTCATCCATCCATCCATTTATTTATTTATTCATTCATTCATCCATTCATCCTTTGATCAAACTCTGCAAGTTTTTTATCAGTATTCGGAGCATTTTCATTCCCATATATAAGACAACTTCAATTTTTTCCCCAACTACGACCCCACCGCGAATGCGTGAATGCGTTACATGCCGGCCTTATTAGGACAACAACCCTTCCTTATTTATTCTACATCATCCCACCCTCAGACCCTCCCATAAATGTCACCTCTGCACCCAAAAAATTCTTGTTGCTTGCAGTAATTCTTGAATAGTGAACTCCCAAAATGTCTGGTCTTCGAAAAGCCAAGAAATACGATTGGAAAGACTCCAATTTGTCCCTCTTTGGATCAGATTTGGAGAAGAATGTAAGCATCTGTGTTCAAATTTAGGAATTATCATGTTCAAATAGGATATTTTCGTACGATCCAAACGTGTACCAAATGTGTGCCCTTTTACTTTAAATCAAAGTTCTTTTAATCCCCCATGTAAAAATCCATGTTTGACTAAGTTTTCTGGAATATTTTCGCTTCTACATTAAATACAGCGGTCGAGGTTTCTTTAAATTGGGTATTTATTGCAGACGTTGAAAAATTCATAAGTTGTTAGATTTTCGGTCGAGGGTTTACAAAACTCTAGAAATAATCTGATTTAAAAATCAATCTTCTATGTGTTCTACGGGGTCAAAACCTTGGAAATCTAGAGCTTTACAGAGGTTGATTTATACGCTTTTAGTTTGTATTCATAATTCTTCAATTGAAGTCTAGAAAAATGAAACATTTTATGCGATTTATTAACAATGAAACTCGTGTTTCAATGCAAGATCATTGTCGTCGAATAAATATGTAAAATATCTCGAATATCAGGGAAATTTTAAGCCAAACGTTTATCAGCCTAAAAGATTCCCTATTGTATCGAAGTTACGACGTTTTTGGTGTGAAGTGATTTGAATTTTCAACACGAGCAATTCTTATTGTTTTTCAATATATTTTTTTTCGAGGTCGATTAAATATTTCTAGAAATTTCCATTCAGACAGATGAAGCGAGAAAACCAAGCTTTGTTTATAAAATTCGGACAATATTTGATTCTATAATAATTATTATATTTTTCTATTTAAGTTCACTTGTTTTTTCGGATAAAAGCTTTTAAAAGAGGTTGACGAAAATCTTGCGTGACGTTTGTGAGACGTGACAGATAAAAGGTCATAAAATGAGGTCTAACGACAGAAATTGATTTAGTTCGGTCCTCGTAAATTTTCTCCGTCTAGTCATTGTAGACTAGCATGACTCGCTATTAAAATGGCAAGCAATTTTGCAGTTTAATTGCCTTGAAAAATGACCAAGTTTAGGTGTAGACTGAGATGTTAGTGATGAACGAGCTGTAAAGGAAAGAACAGGTAAGGGAGGGGAGGTTTGGTGAAAATCTGTCATCGCCTGGACTTCCGCCAATGAAGACTCGAACGAAGCTGTCATAGTTTTCAACTCGTTCAATATTGAACTTTCGCCCTTCTCTAGTAACAACCCTGGCACGGATCCAGGTCTTTGTAGAGCACGAGGGACAAACTCAAAAAACATGCGAGCCAAGCATAAGTGGATCTAAGGTTATTGCGGGCAGTGCACCATGGGACTGTTTTATCGGACGAAATGGACGCCAGCTTTTAAATACATTTTCTTAAATCTTCCCACAATGCACTACAATGCCAACTCGACACAGTTTTTCCTCAACCTCGCAAGACTAAATTCTCTTGTTTTTGAGTGCTCTACAGTTCCCAGTGTTTTCATATCACGAAACATAATCAGCCGTTTTAATTTATTGCTTTTATCTGAAAATATTTTAAAACGATCGGTTTTGCGCAAGCGTGTCTCTGCCCTCTAATATAAACACTGTAGCCAGCCAATGAGCGCGCGTTATTTTTCAAATATTTTATAAATATTCAATTATTATATTTTCCAGGTTAAGAAAGCGTCAGCGGAAGGAGAACCGGCATGGGAGGGAGCTGGGACAAAAGTTGGCCTTCAAATCTGGCGGATTGTCAAGTTCAAGGTGGGATTTCAAAATGAAACGCAGTCGACAATAACTTGGTGAAGTCTGCATAGTTTTTATGAAAAATCGAAAAATTAAAAAGATTTAAAAAATCTTAAGTAAGCACATTTTAACGATCTGCATGACTTTTTGATCGATTTTCAGCACATGCAGAAAATCGTTTKSKRGSGGGGGGGGGGGGGGGGGATGTTTGTTAAAAAGCTAATCAATAACTGCGCCTTGGTTCAGTTTGGCCAGCGGTCACGAATTCGTAATGATACTCTTCAACTCTTTCAGGTTACCCACTGGCCTAAAGAAGACTATGGAAAATTCTTCAGCGGTGACTCTTACATCATCCTGCACACCTACAAGAAAGACCCGGACAGTGAGGTAGGGTCAAGGGTCTTGCTGATTTGATGTTTCTTGGGTTGCCTGTGGTTTTTGATGTTTCGTAATGACGTCACTAACCAAAACAAACCTCTGTTTGACGTCTTTGTGAAATAGATTTTAGTAACGGCCTACTTACGAGGCAAGTTTAAAAGGATTTTTCATGGCTAAGTTTCATTTTGTTTTGTTCATTATTTATCAAGGAACTTTCTTATGACGTGCATTTTTGGATCGGTAAGCAATCGAGCCAAGATGAGTATGGTACTGCAGCCTACAAGACAGTGGAGCTCGACACCTTTGTAAGTATAACACAGACAGACGGACGGACTGACGGACGGACGGACGGACGGACGGACTGAAGGACAGACAGACAGACAGACGGGAGACGAACAGATTGATAGACGGACACTGACAGACATGAAGGCAAACAAACATCTTTATTTGGCACAGACGGGTGGACAGACAGACAGACAGATAGACAAACGAACCGATGGACGAAGAAAAGCAACAGGCCGGGTCGGAGAGGCTTATAGATAGACGGACAGACAGACAAATAGAATGACAGACGGACAGAGGTGTCTACATGTCTATATCAGAATTTTTTTTGTAGTTGAACGACAAGCCAGTGCAACATCGTGAGGTCCAAGGTCACGAGTCAGACTTGTTCAAAAGTTACTTCGACACCATTATGATCATGAAGGGAGGGTAAGTGCGTGACGTCTTGCTTTATCCTTGCGTGACATTTTTCCTATTTATAATCATTATAAAAATCACTAGTCCACTAGTCCTTTGAGTGTTACTTCGACACCATTTAGCAAAAGATTTCTTATTAGCATCCATTGTTGACGGCACCACAATTGCCGCCATGATTTTGTCTTTTAACTCTACTCTTTTGGGAATGCTTGCAACCCATCAATTGTACTAATTTAAGTTCTAAAATGTCTTCGATTCCGTAGTGCTGACACAGGATTCAACAGGGTTAAACCCGAGGAGTACAAACCACGCCTTCTTCAATTCAACAGGGTTGGGGTAAGTTCTGGGAACCCTGTGGATTGCCTTGGCGATAGCGCTGCGCGCACATTCTAAAAATAGCTTTAAGACTCGGACAAACCTTGCATTCCCTTTAAGTGGAAGATATCTAACTTTGAAAAAATGATATTTGGTTTTAGCGCACAGTTCAGTTGACGGAGAAAGCACTGAAGAGGTCAAGCATGACTAATGGTGATGTGTTTGTCATTGATCTGGGTCTCACTGTATATCAGGTAAGTGTTGTGTACGTACAATCACTATTATTATCATCATCATCACCACAACCATCATCATCATCACCATCACCACCATCATCTTCAACATGATCACCATGATCATCACCATGATCATCATATATCACCACCACACACCATCATCATCATCACCACCATCATCATCATCGAACACCATTATCATCATCACCATCATCACCACCATCATCATCAATATCATCACCATCATCATCACCATCACCACCATCATCATCATCACTATCATCATCACCACCACTACCATCATCATCGAACACCATTATCATTATCACCATCATCACCACCATCATCATCAATGTCATCACCATCATCATCATCACCATCATCATCATCACCATCATCACCACCATCATTAATAGTTTATTACATATATTATAACTTATAACCTATAATCAAGTGAATGCTTTCCTTGCTGTCGTTTCTAGTGGAATGGCACAGACGCCAACAAAGATGAAAAATACAAAGCGCAGAGCTTCATTCAGGAGCTTGAGGTAAGAGATGATAGACAGAATGGAAGAAAAAAAGGAGAGAAAATTGGAACAAACGAAAGAAAGCAAATCAACTATCATAACAAACCAATGGCGTGACTAACAAGCTGTTTAGAGACGTTTTCTTGTTTCTGTGACCTCCACAACCACCAGACGACTAGGTTTTTGGCTTGTGTTAATGAGACATTAACTAACTCAGATCATTTAACAAATTGACATCAGTTTTTCATTGATGATAAAAAATAGCCAATAAGCGCGCGAGAAATTTATAAGTTATAGAGGTTTTGCATCATCACGTGACGGCAGCCATGTTAGATGGCAGAAACAATACAATCGTCTTACATGAGAAAGAATTCAATTCCCAAGCGCAAAGGGATTTTATTGTTCTGCCATCTCACCACAGGCAGCCCAAGCTGTATTATGGGCGTGGACACGTGATAGTGAAAAACCTCTATTGTTAAATGCTTTTGATTGGCGGGGTTGTTTGGGTCCAGGCACTGAAAACTGTGAAGCTATCGGCAGTGATCAAACGGAAGAGGCGAAAGTTTTTTACACTTTGTAGCTAGAAGTGTTCTCGAACCTAAGGGCTTTGCATCCTCAACTATGATAAAACAGATATCTATCTCTTAAATATCAAACTATTATTATTATTTCATTACAGTCCGAGCGAAAGGGAAAAGTAAAGTCCGATGTTCTTGGTAAGATGATGATTTTTGTACTGTTTTTCTTTTACCGTTGCATTCAGTCAATGGAGACCTTTAGCATCAGGTTTACCGCTTACCGCTAGAAATCAGGCCCCGCGTGTTGTGGTTAAGGATGATTTTCACCAGCAACGGAATCAGAGTAGGTGCTTTTAATACGCTCGCAAACACAGAAAAACACTCAGCATCAATGAAATTCAATATGGCTGCTCGTCCATCAACAACTTCGTTATGACGCCTTGCTAAATGTAGAAAGTTTGACGGAAAACACCTGACGTCGAACTGCAGTTTGGGGTTTGGGGTACCTAGCAAGAAAGTCATCATACATACATACATACATACATACATCGTTTATTTGTTAAAGCAGGTTACAAAAATAGGCAAGACAAGAGTGGACCTGCATAATCTAAATATACAAAGAGAAATATAAAATTGACAGCTAAATTATTACCAAACACATATAAATGAAATTCTAGTCATAAAAATATATAATATAATAAAAAATATCCAATATTAGTAATATTGGTAATAAATATATATATACACTCGATTGCAGAAACGTTGTAGTATACATTTATACATTTATACAAATATCTAATGAGATGCATAATGCAAAATAACCATTTCCAACGCTTAAAAACAACTGATTTATAATCTGTACGATCTAATAGACAAGGAAAAAATATTTTGACAGTCAGTGAATGAAACAAACAATAAATAAAGCGATTTTTCTGTTTTGCATATCATTAAATATACTGAATAAATTAGATATTTGTATAACTGTATACTACAATGTTTCTGCAATCGAGTGTATTTAATATTAAAATAAATAAATGAATATACAAAGAAAAAAATTAAAAGTAGACAAAATGATTCCTTAGTATATGATATTGAATCTAGGGTGTTCTTGTTTTTCTTTAGTTTGTTTCCAAAACATGATACACTAGAAGCTCCCTTAATGTGTTCCGGGAGAGAGTTCAAAATGTCATGCTAAATGTCTCTACTAACTCATTCTTTCCCACCCTCCTCAGACAACCAAACCGTGGAACATTTGCATCCTAAACTGGAGAATATCATTCCTGTTGGAACACCGAAGAAGGACAAGGTGGATGGGGTGTGATAAACGTTTTGTGTTTGTTATGTTTGTAACGGCCTTTGCGCGGAAAACTGGTAACGAGGATGCGCGCTGAATCATGGGTCTGTTTTATGGGACGCCATTTTGGAGTACACTAGAGAATAACGTTTGCGCACGCGTGCCTTTCAGCACGTCTTCCTATGATTTTTAAAGTTATGGCATTTGTAAAGTCCATTTGTCAGGCATGTTTGAAAGTCAAATTTACATCATAAAGACGTTTCGACTAATTTGCATACGGATTCAGAGCATGCGCAGACGTTTTTCACTCGTGTCGTTCAGGGGTATGCTAAAGACAGCCTGAAGCGAGATGACGTTTTACCCCCGACTCTATACCATAATAGTCTTTAAAATTCTTTCATATTCAAATTTTAATACCTTAGAGAATACAGGAACAATAGTCATAATTAAAGAACAAAAGCAGCGTAAAAAGGATTATGGTCTAGAGACGGGGGTAAAACGTCATCTCACTTCAGGCCTATTCAGCACGCATAATACTCGTTACTCGGGGAGGCCAGTAGTCACGTAATGTCGTAGTTATTGTCATTTGTATTCTTGTTCGTGTGTTTATTTCGTTTGAAGATTGCAGTCTTTTTAGAAATACTGTGTTGTATTGAAAAACTGCCGGCAAGAAGTTGTTTACATGCCATTATTGTTTTAGTCATTGTATTTCAATTATTGAAAGGAAAACAAGGAATGAAACAGTGAATGAGAAAGGGGGAAGCAACTGAAAGCATTATTGCTCTTTCGAAGTCTCTCTTAATCAAAGTTAGCCTTCGTCTTGTGCAGAATATTCATGTGTTCTAGTGAAGGTCCGTGAAATTCCAAAAGGTACCTTTCCATTGGAATAGTATGGAATGGAATGGAATGGCAGTGGAATGGAATTTAAAAAAGAATAAAAGATCGAGGTAGAATGATAAATAAAAGAGGGCCTAGAAGCAGAAAGAAGCAGCGGTTAATAAAATCGTTAATAAAGTTAAACCAATCCCAGACCTGTGCAACATATATTTTATAAGTATAATAATAATAATAATAACTTTATTAACGTCTCGAATACTTCTAGCCGGGCACAAGCGCCCTACTAATCGGGGAGACTTATATGAAATTAACTAACGAAGTTGAATACCTCTTTGTTCACAGGGACCAAAACCACCGATTGAGAAAGTTTTGAACAAGTATGGCAAATATCTGAGCTTGATTTGTCAATCCTTATTTTTATAATTATAATTTAACTTTGATTATGGGGGTAGAGTGCAAACAATATATCCGTGAAACTTTAGTAATTCTTCGTTTGCACGTTACTTCATCGCGGCCATGTTGGTACCATTTAACAAAAGATTTCTCATTAGCATCCATTGTTGGCCGCCATGTTTTTGTCTCTTAACTCTCTTGGGAATGCTTGCAACCCATCAATACTAAATAGCACAATTTCATGCAAATTCCATTGTTTTCTATTGTTTAACTAGCACTATTTTGTACTATTTAGTAATTAGTGTTTCACGGATTAATTGTTTGTACTCTAGTAAATGTTTTTTGATTCATGTTTTTGTAGACTATCTGATGCTACTGGCAGTCTTAAGTTCACTGAGGTCGCACGTGGTTCAGCAGTCAAAAAGAGTGCCCTGGACCCTAAGGACGGTAAGTGTGAGAAAAATCTCGACAAAAATCCCGCCAAAAATCCCGCCAAAAATCCCGCCAAAAATCCCGCCAAAAATCCCGCCAAAAATCCCGCCAAAAATCCCGCCAAAACCACAGGAACTACATCAAAATGAGCCATTGCGAGAACCATCTAGTCACCCTTCTTACGTCATTCGTTTACTGAACCAATCGGCCTCTTTCCCTTTTGATAAGTACCGCTGTGAACCTTGACCACAGACTCATTTGTACACGTTTAGTATCGTTGAAGAGCAAACCATTCGCAGAAAATGTACGGACTGACAAAAAGCTTACCCCACTCAATGTCTTATGGAGGATGTAAAACTTGCAAATGGATGCTTGAAAACTATCTTTCATTATTTTCTTAAGTGTTTATCCTCGAGACTGATGGCCATTGCTTTGTGTGGTGTGGATCTGAAGCCAGCGTTGACGAGAGGAGAAGATCTATGGAATTCGCTCATGTGAGTATCCGTAAATATTGGGAAGTGGAGATATAGGAAAATGTATTGAATAATTTTCTTTTATTTACCTTCTAGAAATATCTGATGAAGAGCGATAACCCCTTCTCCCCGATCACTTGTGTTATTGAGGGCAAAGAGCCTGATAACTTCCACAAGGCATTTTAGGAACAGCATGTCATAAACAGATTTAGCTAAGGTATGAGTACTGCATCATGATCGCGAGTGGAGTATTGCTGGTTTTTTTTCAGTGCTGTTTGCTCACTTCTCTTCTCTTATCTTTTCTTCTCTTCTCTTCTCTTCTCTTCTCTTCTCTTCTCTTCTCTTCTCTTCTCCCTAACAGTCAATTAACTGTTTCTTTACCTTGATTTCAGGTTGGATAAAACAAGAATCTAAGCCAATACCATAATTTTGATNGAACAGCATGTCATAAACAGATTTAGCTAAGGTATGAGTACTGCATCATGATCGCGAGTGGAGTATTGCTGGTTTTTTTTCAGTGCTGTTTGCTCTCTTCTCTTCTCTTCTCTTCTCTTCTCTTCTCTTCTCTTCTCTTCTCCTCTCTTCTCTTCTCCCTAACAGTCAATTAACTGTTTCTTTACCTTGATTTCAGGTTGGATAAAACAAGAATCTAAGCCAATACCATAATTTTGATACTTAAAATAAGCTTAACGTAAATTTCTTTCAATAAAATCTACTTGATACAAGTAAACATATCATTTCTGAGGGAGTGGAGAGCGGGGAGTGGGTTTCGCGCCAAAGAGCCTAGTCACGTGTCATTCCCTGAAGTATTATATCTTTTTTTATAAAATACCTCTTTAAAGGAACTTAAAGAAAATGCAAACTCAAACAACTTATGGAAACTCTTTCTCAAAATGTTTTTGAGACTATTATACATAGTCTTCATCCTCTTTACCCATGGGTTCCCGAGGATGGGATAGTCTTTTACCAAGAATATGCACCAGTTAATTTCGAATTGTAAATCCTCAGTGTATATTAGCCTTAATTTTGTTTAGAATATTAATTTGTTCCAGCTAGTGAAACTCCTTAGAATTTCAACTGAGTATTTTTATCGTCAATTTTTCTTTACTTTACTGTTGGGGATACTAAAATGAGGCTTACCCTGAGAGTGAAAGACTCATTTAAACCAAACAATCCGGTTGGAAATTCAATCGCTAATAGTAAGAAAAAAAGCGGGAAACTTTGACTTTCGAAAACTATGGTACACGCGTCTACCGAAAGAACCGAAATGAGCGGGAAAAGGACGGGAAAAGTGGATTACCTCTGATTCGGGAGACCGAGTTTTCCGGATCTTTCTCATTGGAATAATGCATACCATTTTCCAACCGGAATTTCCGATTTTTCCAGATAAATGGTAAGCACCTCTGTAATCAAGGAACACAGCGGTAACTTGAACTTCAAACTCCGGGGATTGCGTGACATCAGCCTTAGAAATCATTTCAGGGTTTTGATCTGTGAGTTAGCTGTGCCCTGACATAAATCAGCCTAGAGGTTGTTTCGGGGTTTGATCTGTGAGTTAGCTGTGCCATGACTTAGATCAGCCCAGAGGTTGTTTCAGGGCTCAATCTGTGAGTTAGCTGTGCCATGACTTAGATCAGCCTAGAGGTTGTTTCGGGGTTCTTTACGAATCCCGACCCCCCTCCCCGTACCATGCTTCTAAAAATAATTATTTTTTCCTTTGACCTAATTTAGTCATTTCAAGACGGTCGAAGTGTTTAAAAACTTTGTAAATCCTTTGTATTCTATTTTTGATAATGATGCATTCATTAGTAAGATTATGAATATTTTAACAACATAACCAACCCTCAAGCCTGAACACATCTGGTTTCACTTTGTCTTGAGTAGATTCACTCGCTTCATTGTCCCCGATTCTCTATCCTTTGCATTGAAAAATATTCTCTTCGAAAATCAAGTTCTAAACTAGTAAACTCCCAAAATGTCTGGACTTCGAAAAGCCAAGAAGTATGACTGGAAAGACTCGAATTTGGCCCTCTTTGGATCGGACTTGGAGAAAAATGTAAGTATTATACTTTTTCTAAGTTCGTAACGTGTATGTTTTAGAGAGCGGAGTCAGTTGACCCGCCTTCCTGGTTTACCGATTTGTAAACTTTTGGAAAGTAACTAAGAAAATCAACTTTTTAATCTTTGATTTCCAATCTTCAAGTTACAGTTTTGCATTGGGAAATTTTAAGTTGAAAAAATTTTTTTTTCTTTTAAAACTTCTTTTAAATTTCGTGTGAAAGTAATAATGTGACAACATCAGTGCTCGATTCGGGAAATTCAAATAGCGACTTCTGATCGCTTTTTGCTAAATTCAAAGTTCAACCTTTTAATATTTTTCAAGACGCAAAACAAAACGCGTTTTGACAGTTCGGTACATAATTTAACAAAGGCAGAAACAGATTGCGAAAAGTGAGACAAAATCTTTTAAAACGTCAAAGGTTTTTAGAAACTTAATAAGCGGCGCACAAAATCACAGAAATTGAGTGGGAATTTCCCGAATTTTTTTCCTTTTCATCACTCAAAAATATAAGTTTATTGAGAAACAAATTTTAGAGGTAAATTTTCTGAATTAAGTAATGCATTACATTTTGGTTTCAGTTGCTAGGCACGCTAAAGGTTTATAATTTTTCTTTTCTTTTTTGCATATCGGTAATGTGGTTTGTAAATTAGCTCAATGGTGTAACAGAAGTTCATCAATGTTTGCTCTCCCTCGACTCCACTACAGCTTTGTAAAATGATAAACTTTTTATGTCGAAGTTTTTTAATTTTTAAGTATCACTTAAGAGACTACAAAGTTTGACTAAAATCTGTTTTTTTTTTCAAGCGACTTCTTATAGTAAAATATGCAGAGAATTGTCGAAATTACTGATGAAATTTTCTTTACAAGCTAGGAAAGTATAGTCGAAATTTTAGCATCAATGTTCTTAAAATTATATGGAATATGTTAATAAATATCAAAAAAACACGGGAATTAGACGATCAAGAAGTTCATACTGTACAAAGCACTCGATATAGTATGAAAGTTTTCTCAATTATTTCTTTTCTTTTTCTTTCTTTTTTTGTTGCCTTTGTCGTTGCATTTTTCAAATTAGAAATCATTGCCAAAATATAAACCAATGTTAGTGAACTCTCCTGAAGATAGGAACGGCTTGCCAAAGGATTTCTTTTTGTAAATCTTCAAGCAACTTCATTGTTATAGGATTCTTTGAATAAAGAGGTCCAAGTTTAATTTAGATTCTGATATCAATTATTATTCATGCAGCTCATTGAAAAGTTAATGAAGAAATCCCAGCATGAAAACTAAAAAACTCGTAACAACTTCATCTCCTTATATGGTTCTGAATTAAAGAATTTTGACACTGAAGATTTGTTTTTCTTATTCCCTTCTTAGTCACAAAGCTACTCCAATTTTCGCCTCTTCGAAGCTATCCATTCTTTTTGGCTCACTTCAAATTACCTTACCTTGGCTATCGCAATTTATGAAACTAATCTGAAAGCATCTGTTTGTCTCATTGTTCAATTCTGTAGCTTTATCAACACTTACCATGAAAGTAGATATTTTCAAACTTTGACTTCATGGGAATTCTTAATTAAGAAACCTTGTAGTTTATACTTTGGCAGAAAAGAAAACTTTTTACATGATTGAACGATCTCTCGTACATTTTTTTCATAGTTCATCTTAAATTTAGGGGGTTTTCTCGACAAAATGGAAAGGATTTTCTCTTTACTCCGATATAACGCATTTCAGAAGCCTTAAAATGCAGATAAATTATACCATATCATTGGCAAAATATTTTGTAGTTTGTAACAAAGTTATTTCACATAAGCAGGACCATCACAGTTTCCATGTCTATATCATGATGTAAGCCCTGGATGATTTGGTGTCATTTTTGGTAGAATATCAGAATTTTTTGTTTTATAATCTGATTTTGGGAACGTGTGGCCAAGACTAGGGTCAAACATCGAACTTCACGTGAACCGTACGCATTGTACGCATTGAAAACAATGGATAATAAGGCGGTGTTCTTGGATGTCATCAGGTTAAATTTGGCTCATGCGAAGTTCGACATTGTATTCGGCCTTAGATATTCATAGCTGAAAGCAAATTTTTCTGAAAGTAATAGGATTGCACAAGCTGTTTTTGTTTCAGCAAGAGAAAAGAAAACCGCGGGACATTAGAGACCTTTAGCATCACTGCTCTCCGACTAGGGATCAGGTGCAGAAATACGCAAACACAGAGAGACTCAGCATTAATGAAATTCAATATCATAGCGGTTCGTTCAGCAACGACTTCGTTATAACACCTTGCTAAATGTCAAAAGTTTGACGGAAAACGCCTGAAGTCGAAATGCAGCTTGAGGTTCCGAGGGGACTCCTCCCCCCGGGCTTGAGGTTTGCGGTACCATGCTAGAACGTCGTGCTAAATGTCGACTCTATAGTTTCGGATTTTCCGCTGCAAGATGCATACCGTGACGATGTTTCTGTTTGTATGGACAAGCAGAAATCTCGCCCGCTGTGATTGGCTCAACGTCTCACAGTCATTCCGAAATACTGCGCATGCTCGATGAAATGTTGTGTCACGTGCACCAATAACCGGAAATCAATGCTTTCCTGGCCTCTTGTAGGAAAGACGGATTGTAACAATTTCCCGGAAGTACATTTCCCCCCGCTCTTTTCTGTTGAAAAACGCGTCTACCACTTAAAGGCCCTTTGTATCGGCAAATGCTCGCAGCTATACAGTCCTTTGACTAAACGTTGTCGTTTGATCGGCTTCATCCCTACGCGCCTAGACAGAAAAGGATCATGGGGATAATTAATTCGTAGTTACTAGCTGCCGCATATGTTATCTAACACGTCTTGAGCTCGCTGTTTTCGATCCCATTTAATTTGCTAAAACCATGCCTCGAGCATACGCCGAAGATTTAACGCTGGCGAGCAGTTTGGATGATGCAAGTTCTGGGTAATTTACCCGATATCCTTTTAAATTTCGGTCTAGGTGCGTAGGGATGATCCGATCAACGACAACGTTTAGTCAAAGGACTGTATAAGATAACGCATGCACAGGTTCTTCATGATTTGAGTCGGATGATCATGATATCTTTTAACAGGTTAAGAAAGAATCAGCCGAAGGAGAAGCTGCTTGGGAAAATGCAGGAACTGAAGTTGGAATACAAATCTGGAGAATCGTCAAGTTCAAGGTAAAAATTCTACCTAATATTTTTCAGTTTTCACAAGAAACTTGTACAAACTCGCGTTGCATGGTTTTTCTTGACTTTAATTCTGGTTTGAATCTATTTATTTTATTAATTTTGAGCTCGAGGAACAATTTGGACAATGTATGCAGGCTAGCTTGCCACTTGGGAATGGTGCAAAACAGTAATATTGAAATAAATTCATTGTACTCTGGGGGACAGGGCAGAAAAACGACAAGCCCGCTACTTTCACGATTTTTTTATTTAACTGAGTTTAATACTTTACTGAGTTTAATAATTTTTAAGGGTTTTCATTTGTGTCACTGTTGCTCGAAACTTGTGACGAAATTTTGTCGAATTAGAGTAAATCTACTTATTAGTATTCACGAAAATGTCAGTGTTTCTGCTGATCAAAATATCACCTCTCCCAAAGTACACGGCTTTACATCTCAAATACGCATTCAATAAATTTTGGTCGCATTTGATATTTTGCTATTTGGCTCCAAAAGAACGTGTTTACAAAATATTGAGCTTAAATACATAAAGCTGTATTTATAGAGAAAGACCAAAAACCGTTTTTCTGCCCTGTCACTCTGGGGTCGAAATATATGCTAATCACCCAGAGCTAATTGCATTATGGGGAATTTTGATTCAATCTTTTGCCACGAGGTTAAGTACTGTACTTCCTTTTGGTCAACGGTCATGAATTCTCAATGATACTCTTCAACTCCTTCAGGTAACCCACTGGCCTAAAGAGGACTATGGAAAATTCTACAATGGTGACTCTTACATCGTTTTGCACACGTACCACAAAGACCCAGAAAGCGACGTACGTGTACAATATTCCAGTTTCTGATTTCTCTGTTCATCATTTGTCTACTGCTCGTCGCGTAGTTAGTTCTGAAACTTCAATATAATATATTTTCCAGGAACTTTCTTATGACGTGCATTTTTGGATTGGAAAAGAATCTACTCAAGATGAGTATGGTACCGCAGCCTACAAGACAGTGGAGCTGGACAATTTTGTAAGTAAAAAAATAAAAAAAGCAAAAAATAAAAATAACAAATACAGAAATGCAGAATATAATGCTATCTATATATAGTCCTGGAGTTATAGGCCGTAGGTTCAATCTTCCACTAAGTCGAGACCGGATCTATTCCTTATATGGCAAAGTGCGCGCGCGCCAAAAGCACATACAGGAAATCCATAAAAGGGGGGAAAATAATGAATGTGATAAAATAAATGGAGTCTCAATTTGACGGAAACTAAATTTGAGACCTTCAAGTATACTCGAGTGTTTATATATATATATATATATTTAATTCCTTCCCTAGTTTTATGCTAATTAGACAAATACATTCATAAAAATATGTATTCCACTGCCATTTTTCCCCCTCCCATTTTTAGCTTGACGGCAAGCCTGTGCAGAATCGTGAAGTACAGGGCAACGAATCTGAATTGTTCAAGAACTACTTTCCCAACTTTAGCGTCATGAGAGGAGGGTAAGTGTGTGACATTTTCTATCCTTGCGTGACTGATCAAACACTTGCGTGATCGATGACATACGACTCGTGCAAGAGTACAGGACAACTACCTTTGACGAGTTAACCGTCATGA